CCGGTGAATAACTTTCAGACATGGATTATAATAGAGCTATAGATGTGTGGAATACCTTCGAATGTAGAACATTGGGAGATCACGCCGATGTATATTCAAAATCTGATTGTCTGCTGCTAGCAGACGTGTTTGAGAATTTCAGGGAAGTATGCATGCAACAATATAAACCAGATCCTGCCACTATCTGACAGCGCCTGCGCTGAGCTGGGATGCCATGTTACGTTATACACAAATAGAACTTCAGCTCTTGACTGATATAGATATGATTCATTTTTTCAAGAAGGGTATTCGAGGAGGAGTGGCACAATGTAGCAAGAAAAAAGCTGTGGCCAATAACAAATTTCTACCAACCTTCGATCCTCAGAAACCAACATCATACATCATGTATTTGGATGCAACAAATTTATATGGAGCAAGTATGGCAAGTTATCTTCCGACAGGTGATTTTAAGTGGGTTGAGTCTAAGGATATCGCAAACTTCGACTGTCCCGCGATTGAGGACGACGCATCGATAGGATACGTTTTAGAAGTGGACTTGGAATATCTAGCCAGCCTACACCATGATCACAACGATTTACCATTTTGCCCAGAACGAATGATCCCGCTTGAGAGTAAGAGCGCCAAACTAATCCCTAATTTACGAAACAAATGCATATACGTTATTCTTTATCGAAATTTGAAGCAGTGTTTGAAATATGGTTTGAAACTAACGAAAATCCACAGAATCTTGGAATTCTCCCAATCGGCGTGAATGAGGCCATATATTGACCTGAACACGCATCTTAGAAATTCCGCACTAAACGAATTTGAACGAGAACTTTTCAAATCATCAATGAATTCGATATTCTGAAGAACCATGGAAAATGTCGACAAAAGAATTGATTTGAAACTTTGTTCACGCTGGGAAAATAAAAACAACTCGCTGGGAGCAAAGGCTCTGATAGCCAAACCACATTTCAAATGCAGCACAGAATTCAGTGAGAACTTGGTTGCAATCCAGTTGGAAAAGACTAGTTTTTGTTATGATAAACCGATGTATGTTGGATTTTCGGTATTGTATATTTCGAAAACTATCATTTACGATTTTTTCTATGGATACATCAAAGCAAAATATGATGATTGAGCAACATTATGCTACACCGATACGTATTCACTGATTCTAGAAATATTCACAGAGAATTCCTATGATGATATGGAAGAAAATATCCAATTTTTCGATACGTCAAATCATCCCATAGACAATATACACCAAATCCCCAAATCAAAATCTGTAATAGGACGCATAAAAGACGAATATGCCTCGAGACCTATTGAATCTTTTCATGGTACTGGTGCGAAAGCTTACTGTGTCAAAGCAGGTGATGTGATGAAAAAAGCCAAAAGTGTCTCAGAAGTAAAGTAAAGTAAAGTATTTATTTAACTACGTTTCATTCTTCAAATGTTTGTAGCAAGTCAAAAGAGACAATTATAGAAAAAAAGAACCGATTAAAAGATAGCAAATACCAAATATTTGAAATAGATTCACAATCATTTAGAAACAATCGAATTGATGCGATTGAACAGCATGTTGAAAATGTTGGTGAGTATGTTCACAGGTTTTGGAAATGGCTAACATATTCATTGACTGAGTAGAAGCAATATCTCAAGAGATAATTCTTTAAGGACTTTTTGAAATTAAACATAGAGAGACACTTAAAATCGTCTGGCAAAAGATTATAAAGATTGAAGTCTAATGTATTTCTCTTCGATTTACTGAGGCGGTAGCGGTTTGTACGAATATTATTTGCAGATCTAGTATTATGATCATGAACGTCAGATTGTTTGATCAACATATTTGCCTTCTTATGAATTTCTAACAAAACACTGTATAGATATAGGGTGGGTAGTGGCATTATTTGAAGTTTCAGAAAAAGAGGTTGGCAATGATCTCTATATCCTGAACTTGTAATGATTCTGATTGCTCTTTTCTGAAGTTTGAAAATCTTCATAGCTCCACTGGAGTTTCCCCAGAGAATGATACCATAACTGATGTGGGAATGAAAAAGGGAGAAATATGTAGATTTCAGTGTATCATAGAAATATCATCAGAAAACGTAGTAAAAAACCAAATTTAGTTTTCAGACTATGTCAATATTAAATGTTCACTTCTTCTCTCCACACCATTTATACGGAATTGAGGAATGAAGTCGCTTCGTCATCTGATGATAAGCGCTATAAAATTCCATTTGATGTGAAAACTTTGGCATGGGGTCATTTGCTAATAACACCAGGAGCTATCACTGGAACTTTAGATGCGTTTTCGGAAATAGCTCAAAATTTAATTGACAGGAAGACTCTGACCAATAGTTTTGATGTGATTTTCATTTGTATATTGTAATTATGGATTATTATATGTTATATTTGTGACATATAAAATAAGAATCATTATCGAGTGAATTTGTTTTATTACATTCATTCAATACAAAATATAAATATTATCCACATCGCTCGAGGCCCCATCTACAAACATGACAGCTTGATTGTGCTTGAGGAAGGCCGTCTACATGATCTCTCCATCCAGGGCGATTGAAGTGGACAAAGCATGGTAGCTAGATACGAAGTTCGAAATTCTCTGTATATTTTGATGGCAGTTTGTCCCATGCATGAAGAAGTTCCATCGGACCTACATTTTCAATAAGATAATGTAGTGGAAAATTCTGGAGCCCTTCTTCGGTTAAATCGTATAATTTTTCATTCTGGTTTCGGTGTTTAATCACGAGTTCGGTCAATAAACAATTAGGACAATCTTTAGACATGTTGTAACAATGAGGTTGAACAGCAACAATAATGCACACACTGCTGTGTAGTACGTAACCCAATCGAATATTCTGAATTCCGCATCATCCTTCATAATATTTGTATCATGGTGTAGTGGGGGGGAGGGATTCAGTTCACACCAGTCAGAATCAATGGTGGAGCCACTGCCCTTCTGCAATCGCAATTTGTACATAGTGCTATTGGTGGGTATGAGTGATTTGAGAGTTGAAACATTATTTATTGTAGTTGATTCCATTCTTGCCCATTTAGAAGGCCAACTTCCATTTCGTGTACCATCACTATCGAAACATATGAATACTCCTCTTATATCATAAGGTTGTGCGATATAGAGAGAGCCTTGAAGAATCACTTGTAAAACTAAACATCGTGGAGTAATCATGGTCACAACTTCTGACATACTAAAATTATTATATACTTTCAAGCCATATTTATTGAACACGTCATACCCAGAACTGCTACCTGCATAATTGTGAAACCAAACATCTGGTGGATATCTTTGCGAGAATGTGTGACGACCGCATATTCAGTAAAATCTTGAAAAAATAAAACAAACTGATTTTGATATTATACTTTATTGCATAAAAAAATTTCCATTCAAATAAAAAACATTCGTTAATGCACACATGCAATTTGAATTCGTATGATAGAAACATCTTGGTTCGAACTGTTGTAAAATAGGTTGTTCATCGAACTCAACTACTGAAACAGGAGTGAACCGTCAAATATATTCAGCTTTCTCCCTTCCTTTGATATGTATTAGATCGACTCCATCACATAGACTTCTCGAAATATTTCCAAACTGATGCAACGGTGTGTATTATTCGGTATACTCTATACAGTGAAAATTACGAACCCAGCGAATTAGCCTGCTTTTGTAAATTCGGAGGTGAAAAGTTAAGTGGAAATGGTGGTTTGAAAATATTATGGCAAATTTTCACTCAATCGAAAGCTGCAAACTCTTTGACAATGAATTCGTTATTTTCTATCTTGAATCCTTGCAAATCTATGATTAAACTCATATCGTGATATTTGAGAAATTTTTGAAAACTGATTTCTTGGAAGAGTACAATTCTATCAGCCATTTCAGTATCTTTATGTTTTCCATATGTCTCCTCAGACGTAATTCATAACTGGATAACATCATATCAACTGAATGAAAGAGAATGTGCTTCTCAATATATGACAAAAATCTGATCATGCGCATTAAAGCTGCCTCACTATTTTCGTTAGAGGGTTATAGGAATATTCTTCTTCATGTAGAACGAGACAAAAAGCAGTGGTTTCTTCTGGAGTATAACTACCAGTTCCAAATTCAACCCGCATCACTATTGATCCTGTTTGGATGACTTCTTTCTGTCGTGAACAATCAATGTGAAAAATTGGTGCTTTATCTTTCAACTCTTTCGGGGTCAATATCGGCTCGTCATTTTTCAGATGATAGTAATTTTCTTGAAAGTTTGAGTACATCTCATAAAGTGTAGCATACTTGTTGTTTTCGAAATCTGAATGTGAATCATTGTATGGATATCTTTCAGAATTGAGGAACACTCCAATATTGGTGAGGTCGATATGATCAAACTTACCCATATCACTCGTTATTTTCCCTTTTCTACTAGTTCCAAATGCTATTATCACATGTCTAGGCGTTTTTGGCCTTGACTGGCCACGTATGTCTATTTGATTCACTAAAAAATGGATACTCAATCAACTCCCAGCTCCTGAACCTAATTGGAAGTTCAATACTTTTATTAGCAATTTTCGTGATTCGAAGTTGTTCTTGAATGCTTGAAGTTATGTGGGGAACTCTTCAAAATACTTTTGTAAGCTCTTCTTTTGGTTTTTCTGAATCATCTATGCTAGTTACTGCATATTAATCATCACTAGATCTGATTAAGACTAATTCTTGCGGCATGTTCACTATTATTCTCCTGAAATCTTCAAAGAACCCAGCAAACATTTCCAAAGGAATACACACGTTGAATTGACCGTTAGTACCAAGTAGAATTTTTTCTTGGTTCGATATTTTGGGGAACCACCGCGCATTTTGCATAGAGACGCTCTCGTTTTCATTTAGTGATAAATAATTTTCCAATGTTGATGTTTATCTCAAATTCCTCAATGAATCAATCACAATACTGTTCAATTCATATCGAAGTTCTCGGAAGAGGAATGCTATTGCATCATTAATGAATTTTAACTTCAGGTTGATCATCGAACTCAACTACTGGAACAGGAGTGAACCGTCGAATATATTCAGCTTTCTCCCTTCCTTTGATATGTATTAGATCGACTCCATCACATAGACTTTTCATGTTATTTTCAAACTGATGCAACGGTGTGTATCCTTCGGTCCACTCTATACAGTGGAAATTACGAACCAGCCAATCAGCCTGCTTTTGTAAATTCGAAGTTGAAAAGTTAAGTGGAAATGGTGGTTTGAAAATATAATGGCGAATTTTCACTTCATTGAAGGATGCAAACTCTTTGACAATAAATTTGTTATTTTCTTTCCTGAATCCTTGCACATCTATGATTAAACACATATCGTAATATTTGAGGAATTTTTGAAAACTGATTTCTTGGTAGAGTACAATTCTATCAGCCTTTTCAGTATCTTCATGTTTCCCATATGTTTCCTCAGACGTGATTCATAACTGGATAACATTACATCAACTGAATAAAAGAGAATGTGCTTCTCAATATATGACAGAAACCTGATCATGCGCATTAAAGCTGCTTCACTATTTTCGTTAGAGTGTTATAGGAATATTCTTTTCCATGTAGAACGAGACAAAAAGCAGTGGTTTCCTTTGGAGAATCACTACCAGTTTCAAATTCAACCCGCATCACTATTGATCCTGTTTGGATGACTTCTTTCTGTCGTGAACAATCAATGTGAACAATTGGTGCTTTATCTTCGAACTCTTCCGGGGTCAATATCGGCTCGTTATTCTTCAGATGATAGTAATTTTCTTGAAAGTTTGAGTATATCTCATAAAGTGTAGCATACTTGTTGTTTTCGAAATCTAAATGTGAATCATTGTATGGATATCTTTCAGAATTGAGGAACACTATAACATTTGTGAGGTCGATATGATCAAAGCTACTCATATCACTCGTTATTTTCCCTTTTCTACTAGTTTGAATTGCAATTATCACATGTTTAGGCGTTTCAACCTTGGTAGTGGTCTTGACTGGCCACGTAAGTCTATTTGATTCACTTAAAGATGGATACTCAATCAACTCCCAGCTCCTGAACCCAATTGGAAGTTCAATACTTTTATTAGTAATTTTCGTGATTCGAAGTTGTTCTTGAATGCTTGGAGTTATGTGGGGAACTCTCCAAAATACTTTTGTAAGCTCTACTTTTGGTTTTTCTGGATCATCTATGCTTGTAACTGCTTCTAAATCATTACTAGATCTGATTAAGACTAATTCCTGCCGCATGTTCACTATTATTCTCCTGAAATCTTCAAAGAACCCAGCAAATATTTCCAAAGGAATACACACATTGAATTGACCGTTAGTACCAACTAGAATTTTTTCTTGGTTCGATATTTTGAGGAACCACCCCGCATTTTGCATAGAGACGCTTTCGTTTTCATTAAGTGATAAATAATTTTCCAATGTTGATGTTAATCTCAAATTTCTCACTGAATCAATCACAATACCGTTCAATTCATATCGAAGTTCTCGGCAGAGGAATGCTATTGCATTATTAATTAATTTCAGTTTTGTTGGAACGGCACTTTTATCATCTAGCAGGGTACTTTCTACGTATAGATAACTGTGACATGGTAATGTGAAGGCTTCAAGGTCAGCAATTGGCACTTTGATTTCATCGTTATAATTGAGGTTTCCAGCGATGTATGGCTGATATGTATGGAACTGATAGTCTTCAATCGTAGTATAACTGGACGGCTGACCTGTGATATTCAATAATTCAATTATTTCGAAACTTCTTATCCAAGAGATATAAAAAACTGACGATTTTCTGATGTTAATATTCCAAAGGTCTTCTTCATACTAGGACGTCTCTTCCCATTGTCTTGTCTTTTATGGTATTGTTCAGGAGAGTAAAACGGTGTTGAATGAAAGAATCTCCACACCATGATCAAAGATCCTTCTTCCGAAGGTGAAGTCGAACGGCGATTTCTCCTTTACGGAAATCTATAATATTTCCTGATTGTTCAATAATTTCCACAGTTATATTGTTGGTAGTCTTCACGGAAACTGGAAAATACAGGATCGTAACAGGTGATTCAATGATCTTGTATCCAGTTGGAACTTTGACATTGAACTGATGAATTAAATGAACTGGTTCACCATTTCAATAGCTTTCGATGGCCAAGTTACAATCTATACAGATAGTATTGACGTTGAGAATCTTGACCTGGTGGTACGAAACACTTTTTTCATCGGCATTCAGCATTCGTTTTCTGAATCCAAGTAGTGATCCAATTGTGTTGTCCACTCCAAAATTGATTTGACGATTAGTTTTCATAGTCACCTTGGAAGTATTCAAATCAGGTGTAATTCGAAAAACTGCTTGGTTGTCTTTATCATTCATAGCATTTTGAATAACGTTTGCTAGATCATCAATTTCATATGATCCAGTAGGAATTTCAAATCTATATCTATCGTTCTCACCCCAAACGGAGATATTATTCGTATTATCAATATTTGGTATTGAGTTAAAACTGTCAAAATTAGCTAACCCAATTTCATATTCGGTTTCATCATTCAAATATATTGGAGGATTAAAATCGTAAGTAAGAATCGATGAACAGCCACTTAAAGTAATAGTCAAAGACATATTGTTTCACTGAAAGTTTAATTTCAAATGACGCTCCATTTTACAAATTCTGGTTTTATAAAAAAGTAAACAATGTTGCCCACATTGATATGAATTGAATGATTGTACTGAATCATAATTTAACATAATATCATTGATGCCACCGTCGCTTGAAAAATATTGAATCAGTTCTAAAGGTGGAGATAAATCTCCATAACTGTTGAAATAAACTATTTCATTATCACGCTTGATATAAGCAGTCCAATTTTTTCCTTCACCTACATTCGAATTTAGATTCAAGATTCTAGACTCGTTTTCTCTTATTCTTTCAGGAAGGGTATCTCTCATGAAAATTCCCCTAAAGTATGGTATTTTGAGAATTTTCACATATTTGCGCAAGTCAATATTAGTCAGTGGTCGGCGAGGTAGCTTTATCAGGAGTTTTCTGCGTATGGCTTCAAATACATGCCATAGCCTTTATATGGTCTCAAATATAGCCCTTTTCCAGTAGCTGCCTTCCCCATGTCTCGATTATGTCGCTGTTCTTCAGCTAGTCGTTCTCGATCAGCTTTCGCATCATTAATCGCTTTGGCGATACCCGCGGCACCTCCACCTACTGGAAAAGGCTATATTTGAGACTATATAAGGGCTATGGCATGTATTCGAAGCCATACGCAAAAAACTCCCGATAAAGCTACCTAGCCGATCACTGACTAAAATTGACTTGCGCAAATATGTGGAAATTCTGAAAATACCATACTCTAGGAAAATTTTGATGAGAGATACACTTCCTGGAAAAATAAGAGAAAATGAGTTTGGAATCTCGAATCTGGATTCGAATGTAGGTGAAGAAACACATTAGACTGCTTATATTAAGTTAGGGAGATTTATCTCCACCTTTAGAACTGATTCAATATTTTCCGAGCGACGGTGGCAATAATGATATTATGTATAATTATGATTCAGTACAATCATTCAATATCAATGTGGGCAACATCGTTTACTTTTTTTATTAAACCAGAATTCGTGAAATGGAGCGTCATTTGAAATGAAACTTTCAGTGAAACAATATGTCTTTGACTTTTACTTTGAGTGGCTGTTTATCGATTCTTACTTACGATTTTAATCCTCCAATATATTTGAATGATGAAAACGAATATGAAATTGGGTTAGCTAATTTTGACAGTTTTAACTCAATGCCAAATATTGATAATACGAATAATATCTCCGTTTGGGGTGAGAACGATAGATATAGATTTGAAACTCCTACTCGATCATATGAAATTGATGATCTAGCAAACGTTAATCAAAATGCTATGAATGATGGAGACAACCAAGCAGTTCTTCGAATTACACCTGATTTGAATACTTCCGAGGTGACTATAAAAACTAATCGTCGAATCAATTTTGGAGTGGACAACACAATTGGATCACTACTTGGATTCAGAAAACGAATGCTGAATGCCGATGAAAAAAGTGTTTCGGACCACCAGGTCAAGATTCTCAACGTCAATACTATCTGTATAGATTGTAACTTGGCCATCGAAAGCTATTCAAATGATGAACCAGTTCATTTGATTCATCAGTTCAATGTCAAAGTTCCCACTGGATACTAGATCATCGAATCACTTGTCACGATCCTGTATTATCCAGTTTCCGTGAAGACTATCAACAATATAACTGTGAAAATTATTGATCAATCAGGATTTCCGTGAGAGAGAAATCACCGTTCGACTTCACCTTCGGAAGAAGGATCTTTGATCATGGTGTGGAGATTCTTTCATTCAACACCGTTTTACTCCCCTGAACAATACTATGAAAGACAAGACAATGGAAAGAGACGTAATAGTATGAAGAAGACCTCCGGAATATTCACTTCAGAAAATCGCCAGTCTTTGATATCTCTTGGATTAGTTTTGAAATAATGGAATTATTGAATATCACAGGTCAGCCTTTCAGTGATACTACAATTGAAGACTATTAGTTTCATACATATCAGCCATACATCGCTGGAAACCTTGATTATAACGATGAGATTAGAGTGCTAATTGCTAACCTTGAAACCTTCACATTGCCATGTAACAGTTATCTATACATAGAAGGTACCCTGCTAGATGATAAAAGTGCCGTTCCAACAAAACTGAAATTAATTAATAATGCAATAGCATTCCTCTGCCGAGAACTTCGATATGAATTGAACGGTATTGTGATTGATTCAGTGAGGAATTTGAGATTAACATCACCATTGGAAAAATTATTTATCACTTAATGAAAACGAAAGCGTCTCTATGCAAAATGCGGGGTGGTTCCTCAAAATATCGAACCAAGAAAAAATTCTAGTTGGTACTAACGGTCAATTCAACGTGTGTATTCCTTTGGAAATATTTGCTGGGTTCTTTGAAGATTTCAGGAGAATAATAGTGAACATGCGGCAGGAATTAGTCTTAATCAGATCTAGTAATGATTTAGAAGCAGTTACAAGCATAGATGATCCAGAAAAACCAAAAGTAGAGCTTACAAAAGTATTTTGGAGAGTTCCCCACATAACTCCAAGCATTCAAGAACAACTTCGAATCACGAAAATTACTAATAAAAGTATTGAACTTCCAATTGGGCTCAGGAGCTGGGAGTTGATTGAGTATCCATCTTTAAGTGAATAAAATAGACTTACGTGGCCAGTCAAGACCACTACCAAGGTTGAAACGCCTGAACATGTGATAATTGCATTTCAAACTAGTAGAAAAGGGA